TAGGTTGCAAGTAGTGCGCACTAAAGTCAGCCCAGGGTCGCCTCTGCCACGACCGTTCCGTGTTCCTCCATGGTTTCCATTGGATGTCCTGTTCGTCATTCACTTCGCTGAACGATTGCAGGGATCTTGCCACAGTTCTTTGTAGGTGTGTAGGATGGATTCCTTGGCCTGAGGCTCGTTCTCGTTCCCGTGGTCTGTTCTCATCGTCCTCCAGGCATTTTGTGTTGCGGTCCTGATCACTTCTTCCAGCACTTGCTGGGTTGGTGGTCTTTCCACTGGAAGGAGCATCTCGCTCGCCAGGCCAGCATGAGGACATGTAGCCTTGTATAGGTGAATAAGTTGACTGCAAACGGGGACCAGTGGGCGAGCAAATGCTGGTTCTTGCCCATCAATAGAAGGTCCAGATCCCATGAAATGTGGAGGGATGTCAAGGAGTGGAAGGCCGCATCCCACCATTGCCACAATTGGATGACCATCGGGCATGCCAGTAGGCAATGCTCGAGTGTCACCCAGGAAAGTTGTGACGATCTTCCACAGTAAGAGCAGATAGGGGACAAGTGGCCTTGTTGTTCTAAGTTCACTATGGAAACGAGCCAATCAGGTGTTGGAAGACACAGATGAAGGATCTGCCATTGCAGCGACCTGAGAGATGTTGGCATGATTCTTGCGTATTTGGGCCATGGTATATCTTTCATCAATTCTGGGTCAAGAGGAGAATCGCGGGCCATCTTTCAGATAGCGTACGGTTGATTGGCTGTTCCGGGTTCTGGGCTTTGTAAGCCTTTTTGACAGTGTAGTCCCATATGTTCACCGGTTTGTGGCCTGGCCACTGCCACTCTATCGGGTCAAAGGGCAGCTCCGCAATTGGTGTTGAAGCCTCATATGCGTATTGCCCTTCTTTGATGTCCCCTACCACCCTTATATGCATGAGGCCGACAGTTGACTCTTTGTCGTCCAGTTCTTCATTGCGTGTCAGTTTCGACATTCTTGCCCCCGGTAAGGCTGGCTCATATGCCTCCAAGGTGCATGTTTCTTGGTCAATGCTTTGCACCTTGTAGACAACCAGGGGTAAGGGTAGGTCTGAGTACTTTACAGTCCAATCCCCTTGCTGAACTGTGGGCCCTTTCTTGAGGGTAGATCGCCATGCCAATGGTATGGCCTCTGTAAGTAGATTCAACTTTCCCTCCACGTTTTTGGCATACCTCATGAGTTGTTGTAATTGCGCTGCAGTCTTCCAGTTCCCTGTCTGTATGTCCCAGACGTCTCCTATCGTGAAGAGGCCTTTTCTGACCCATGTGAGCCAATGGGAGTTTGTGTGCAGTGAAAAGGGATTGCCCGCTTCATCCACAATGTGAGGGTTGCCAAATAGGGGTTGTCGTCATATGTCGTGCCATCTATTGGGGGGCCGAATTTGTTTTGGGCCACAGTGTCTCCACAGTTTAAGCATATTAGGCCATAGCGGGTCTTGTGCTATGTCTGCTTTTGCTGCGTGAGCTGGGTTATCCCCCGGTTGTCGCTGGGTCGCAGAGGGAATGGACCAATGGGCATTGGTGAGCCATCGAAAGGGATGAATCCGATTGGGGTTCGTAGTCTCCGGTGGCAGATTGCTGATATGTATACAAGCCAGCGGTGCCCACGGAATATCATTACCTGCGAGGAGTCTGACCAGCACCTTAAGGATGAGGGCTTCACTTTCTCTTTCCGGGTCGATTATCCCCAGTCCCCCTTTGCCCCTGGGCTGCGTTAGTATACCCCATTTGACCCGGTTGATGCAACCTTGGCCATTGATGTCATTTTTCCAGAGGTAGGTCGTTAGAGCCTTTCTGAGTCTGGTGTATTGTTTCGGTTTAAGTGGTCAAACTGCCAGTTTGTACCAGATTGCTGCCAATACCGCGTTGTTAATTGTTAGTGCTCTCCCGACCAGGGAAGTATGCAGTCCCTCCCATCGACCCAGACGGTCTACTGCCAAGTCCACCAGCGTGTCCCCATGGTCTAGACGGGGGCCAAGTGCTGTCAGTCTCACTCCCAGAATGCAAGGCTGTTTCCTTTGCTGCCCATGAGACCTGTGGCTCTGGCGGCGGGCCAATGTCCTGTGGGTGTAGCCACCACCCCTCTGTTTTAGATCCCCAGTTGACTTTCATATCTGCTGCCAGTGAAAACTGATGTATGACTTGTGTCAAAGCACGAAGACTTTGGTCATCCGCTTTGATCAACACCATAAGATCGTCTGCGAAGAGAAATGTGATCGGTATGAGGTGCTTTGGTAGCTCAGAGATGGGGATTTTGTGAATCTGTGGGTGAGATCTAATAAGGGCAGCCAGAGATTCCATCACGATTACAAAGAGCACGGGTGCTATGGGATCCCCTTGTCTTACCGACCTCTGTAGGAGGATCGGGGCTGCCAAGTGGCCATTCAGCGAGATGTTCGTTGTCGCCAACCTGTGTAAGAGTTGCACCCAGTTTGAGAGTATCGGACAAAAGTTCATCTTAGTCAGGCACATGTCCAAGAAGTCCCAGTCAACGTGGTCATCAGCGTTGTCGAGCGGGGATCCCCGGGGGCAAAGCCGGTGTGAGGCTGCGGCCCCCGGACCCCCGCCGCGGGGGCCATCCAACCCCGCCACCGCCGGACGACCCCCGCCACCGCCCAGCCCCGGGTACCCCGCCGCCTAACCCCGCAGGCCCGCCACCGGCCCCGCAACCCCGCCCCCGCATCGCCCCCGCACCGCACTC